ACTCAAGTAGGTTATAATATTTAAAAAAAAATGTTTTAAGTTGTAATGAAACCACTTGCTTTCAGCTGACAATGCGTCGCTTACACGATAATATCCTCCTGAAAAAGTTACAATAAACTGTTCCACCGACCCCACTATATCACTGAAAAATAATTTTATTAAAAATATTCGTAGAGTAAATTACGGCAGTTTCAGAGACATGCACAGTGTAAAAAAAAGGCATCATAGATGTTTTTAATTGAACAGACGGACAAAACAAACAAAATATAATTCCTTGGATGTTTTCCCAGAGTAGTATATAGTGAGCTCTGGCACTGACATCTCGTTTAATGCCTCCAGGTAAAATCGTTAAGAAACAAAAACGTCAATCTACAAAACAAGAACACAGAAAACCAAAAAAAAAGAAGAAGAAGAAATGAGGAGAAAATGGATTTGTTGTTTGTTCCTTTTTTGCTCAGATTTTTATTTTTATATTTGTTCCGACTTCCCGTCTTCCTTTGAGACGCCTGTTTAAACAAGACGGAGAGCTTCCACCGATAGTTTAAAAGTGGAACGTCGTTCACAAAAAGGTCAAATGACCGATACACGTGTTTATTGAAAACTAATGTACTGAATTTAATTTAAGCCTAAATTTCAGGTAGGTAGGGGGTGAACACTGCAACAAATCGTGTGTGTTAAATGACATTCGCAATATTCTTTTAAGTCATAAATCACGTATATGCGATAAATATAATATAAAGCTACCGCTATTTGGTATATTTTTAATGTGTGTTAATGCCCAAGCGAAATATTTTATAGTTTAAGAATTTTACAGATTATTTTAAGTCTGAGCACATAATAGCAATGTAAATATCAATTAACCGTAAAGTAGTTTAACATTTTAAATTAATTAAATTAGTACCAAGTATTTTGTTTAGAAAAAAAGTACAATTCATTTTTTGTTCATTTTTCATCAATTTTCGTTGTTTCTAGTTGCCAAGTTTTCTAGTCATCGTATTTCATTATACGTTTTTACTGTACTTCCAATTATACTTCAATTTATTAAATTTTGAAATAACAATATATATATATATAATATTGTATAGTACCATCAAGGAAAAATAATGCAGTTTTTAAATCACGCAACGACTTTGATATAGTAATAAAAGTAAAATTGAATTTTTGTTGACTACTAAGAATACGGACATTGCACACTGTAAAATATCTCAATTTCGCTATTTAACGTTTAACTACTTATTAAACTTAATACTTACGCCACATACGTATTTGAAATTTTCATGTTGTAGACAATTTTTTTTAGTTTATTTATGACTCAGTAAAAAAAAAAATTATATTGTGTTTATCCTATTATAATTCATAACTTATAATTTAATTCAGTTTGCTATGATATAAAGTCTAAAATCGATAAAACCGTTAAAACGTAACTTTTCTATAATAATGATACGAGAGAATTTATTTCAGTAAAATTTACTTTTTACGTACAATATAATATTACGAAGAAATTTCATACAGAATTAAATTGTAAGTTCTTTTTTAAAAATTTTTGATTCAAATATTCAGTTAATTAGTTTAAAGAGAGAAAAATAATTTACATTAGTTGATTTATTGAGTATAGGTTTGATATGGTAAAAAAGATCATGTTTTGAAATGGAAGTGTTCAAGAAACAAAAATTGTATGGTGCTTATTTTTTCTGTACTTGAAAAAATTCTGGTTTGTGACTTATTTATCAGCCATTATGCTGCAGATTCTCAAACAAAAATTGATATGCAAGTCTTAATAGAAAACTGAAAATGAAAGACAGGATAATCTATTTCTTGCAGGCCAATAAAAATAATTTGATCTGAATAACTAAATTCGTAAATTCCAGGAGCAATAATTATTAGATGTTCAGATATTTCATCAATAAGAAAGGTTATGTATAATAAACGTAAGAAAAAATATTCATACTACCAAATTATTAGACAAAGCTTTAAAAAAATTAAGAAATTTGCAATTGAACGGTAGCTTTATATATAAAAACCAGCAGTTTATTAGAAATTCAGCAAATGACAATTTTATTTGTGTAACAACGGTCGACAATAATTAGTTTTTAACAAAAAATTGCTCTGAAATATTCGGCGATAGTAAATTTTAGTATTTCTCTAAATATTATTTGCAGTTATACACATTACACAGGTCTAAAAGTAGATTCTATGTTCCAATAATTAATTTTTTTGAAACTATAATTATTTTATAAACGGTTTGATTATTTTATCAAAAACCTTCATTATTGTTTCAAAAATATTAAAAAAGTACCTAAACAAACATATTATTACATTATTAAATTATTATTTTAATTTTTTTAATATTTTTGTGATATTATCACACATACATCATACTATATTTTATATTTTTTTAAATATTATTTTTATTATTAATAATAATCGTATTTATGATTTACGAGTTACAATGTATTATTTTGTAGTTTTTATAAATGCATATGGCATAACAGTACCCATCACTACATAACATTATAATATTCTTAGTTGAATTCTGGTTGCAACCCATACTTAATTGGTTAATAATAAAACTCGTTAGGTATAAATAGTTAAGTTAAACTTGAATAATCAATAATAAAACAAATTACAATTCTAAATAATTTAATTACCTTGAAATATAATTACAATATTATGACGATATCATATCATGGAGATAGGAAATATTAGTATCACAAATTTTAATAACTGATATACGATATATCATGACATGGAGATACAAAATATTAATATCAACAATTTTGATAGATAATATAGAATATATTGTTTACAAATGTATAAGGTTTAAATCACATAATAATTTGTAATTTATTATGTTATGTTTAATAATATATATATATATTATTTATGCACGTTTTCGGAATGGCAACGTTGCATTTAAGATTATGCGGAATCGTTTATGTATATCAATGACTATTAAAATCTTCTATCCTCCGCAAATTTGCAAAGTTGTATTTTAGCTATTGAACTGGCGTATGTTTTATTTTTTTTTATTTTTAAATAACGCCACCCTTAATAAACGTTCAATTGAGTGGCCAATTAGTAAACACTGTTTCTTTTTACGTTTTGCTGGGTCGAGTCAAACGGTTATATACTTAAATAAAATACGTATATAAAAATAAAATCACGTGTTTGACTGTTGTTTCTCAAACTCGGTCGTACATCGTTACAACAATACATATAACGCAATCCTGTCGTTTTTTTTTTTTTTATTCTGTTGTTTACTTAATTAAAATTAAAACGAATATTAATGGGAAAACATGTACATTTTAATTACGGTTCCAGGGGTATTTAAAAATAAAATATACTTTGATGTTGTCCTGTCTCCTGCAGGAGGACCTTGTAAAAAGGGATTTGTTGCACTTGTATTTAAATGGGTTTAACAGGCGCTTGAATTTACAATTATGTATAGTATTCAGAATCCGCATGTGGTTCAAAGCGTTATCAGAACGAGACGTAAAATTGTATGTCGACTCCCTAATTTTAATTTCTTTTTTCCTGCATTACTGAAGGCTTATAGTAAAATCCCTAGCAACCTTTGAATTTTTTCTGTCAATGCCCACTTCGTTTTTTTCGTATTATATTATACTGTGTAAAATATTCTTTTGTTTCAATAAATACCGGCTCATATAATATATATATATATATAACAACGTTAAATACCTTCATAAATAGCTGACAAGAATTTATTACAACGTTAAATAATTTTTATGATTTCCTTTTGCCATTTCAGTCGTATATACAATCTACCAGTCATCATCAGACAACCAGACTAATTTAATAGGGATTTTTTTTTCTCTGAATTATCTTTTATTATTGAACGACGACCGCTAGAACATCAACGTCTGTCACGCGTGGTAATGTGCCTTTTACGAGTGTAATAGTTTTTATATAGATAGGTAGAGAATTTGTTGTACTACATGTAATAATATTGTAGTGTTTACGCTGTACGTGTATATTATTTTTTATAATGCAAAATAAAATTATAGCCTTCTACCGGCGAGGCAATGATGAATACTATGATAATAGGCAAAAATTAAACCACTTTTGGCAATAAAATATTGTATCGAGATGACGAAGGATCGTTATAAATGTCATTAATCTATCAATAAACGTTTCGTGTAAATGGATTTAAAAATAATATAGCTGCAATTTACATAAAACTCCTTTTAAACAATATGCAGATCCCAGGTGTATACATTAAAATATATTAGGTAAAATGTTAGATTTTCAATATTGGCTTTTTGGATTCAAAATTCGATATTGGTTTAAGAAAATGAGTTAAGAGTATCTATCACAACCAATTGCAAATCCATTGTATTATTATTGACCTTTGAATTCTGTTGTTTAAAAACTATACAACAGCAGAAAATTTCCATTAAACTGCTTATACATATATATAATATATATTTATTGCGAAGCCATGTTTAATAGATAATAATAATAATAATAACATGGTATAACATAATTAATAGCAAGAATGTAGTTCAAAGTATCGAAATAGATAAGTATACGAGTATATGAGAAAATATAATCTTATTCTGTCTATCAGATACATAGTATGAATAGGTATTTTAAAATTTAAAATTTGATTTACCACACTAAGTCGAAAATAATTTTTTTTTTCAACAATGTTATCATCGACATTAAAATACACTCTTTATATTCATCTAGTTGTGTAGAACAAACTCAATTTTTTGTATTAAGTAGAAATTATTTTGATATTTATACACATATATTATATTATAATATGTTGCAACAACGAAATGTATTTAATTTTTATTTTGTATTTGTTACTCGCACTGTTTCACATTTCAAATATGCACATATTTGTTTTGTTATTATTTTGCGACTTTTTTTAATACTGATTAAGCGCCCCAGTCTTTTTGACTTTTGTACACGAAACCGTGTTTTTGAGACAGACTTATGTATATTTTTGTGTCTGTTTCACGATTTTTTTTCAGACGTAAACCTAGTGGCCGAACCGAAACCACATCAGACCGGTAGGAAAAGGCAAAACTTATCAAAAACCGGAAACGATTGGTAAGTAAAGTAATTTGTTTTTTGTCCATTTTTTTATTATTATATTCCTTTTTCGTCTTCGTTTCATCCTAATATCTTAGCCCTTATCATTCGTCAATCCACACGGTGCCGCTTGACATGTTATATATATTTTTATATTATTACAGCCGTTATACCTAACCCATACACAATATTATTATTATATACACCACGAGACGGTTTCCGTCGACAATAGTGTTTTCCTAACCCAATCACGGGCCATATAAATGTCTTGCGTGCGCCCCTCGCCCGTACCCACCGAACAATAACAAAAGTTGGCCAATTTTTCTACGATATTTTATTAGTATCTCGTTCTCGGTGGAGTTATACCCTAGATATAATAGCTTATCGACCTACACATATACACAAACTATATATATGTTTATGTACCCGCGCCAAATGCTACGTCGTAATAAACCTAGCGAAATATTATACCGGATATCCGACGTATCGAAACGCAGCGGTTCCGTCCGCTGGGACCGCTGCGATCCGTGATCCACATTATAAATCCGAGACCGACAGCAATCTTCGCGGGAGCGCGCCTGCATACCTAGCCCAATACAATAATAATATAATATTATCATTATTTTCATTTATTGCGACCGTACGGACGCTAATTTCTAACGATGAGCAAACGTCTTCATCAAGGTGTATGACATATACGCATGCGTAAATATATATCATACCATAGACATTACATACTAAATACAGTGATAATGTTAAAACATGCGTTACAATAATATTATGTCATTACACCGACTCGGAACAAAATTGCGCGCCGTTTGCATAACGTATTCGCGTAAACCTAATGGTATAGGTTCGTCATAGCTGTTGTAGAATTTTTATTCAACTATATGCAATTACACTACCGCAATATAAATGTCTATAAATAATACAATATATAATTTGATACGGCAATAGTCAATTAGTAATGGAAACCTGTAAAGCTGTTTAATATACATATATAATATTAATTGTTTAAATATGTCTACTCTTAATAATAAATTTATATTAAACTACACCGTTAGTTTATTTATTTATATTACTGGCAATGTACACATTGCTTGGTTAATGTGGTCCTGCTCAAACAATGTAAAATTGTAAACCACGATTTTTTTTTTTTTTTAACCGAATTATATCATTTTCTATTCTTATTACAAATTATAATTTTATTGTTTGTATATATTGCTCGATATTCCATATTGCTCGTAACATATACACTAGTTCAAGTTTTTAAAAATCTTAGAGTTACAATTTTAAAATAGGAAAACTTTATTACAGACAAGTATTCTAAAATGTCAATTTATAACTTTTAATTGTTAAAAATCACATTATAGTTATGATTAAATAATACGTTTATGAGTTTTTAACTTAGTATAATTTGTAAATTTTTGAATTTTTAGTTAAAATTATTAAAATAACGAGTTAAATGAATTAAAACTAATAATGAAATAAATAAATTTTTTAATAAAAAAAAAAAAGTGTATTTAGGAAATAAGCATTTCTTTAGTTTTTTACTCAGAGATACAATGTCAGACAAAATTAAATAAAAAATAGAAATGCATTATTGTAAAATCAATACATTTCATACTATAGCTCAGATTTTATTTTTCATATAAATAGTAAAATTAAATAAATAAAAAAAAAAAAACAAATATCAACTGTTAACTTCAAATTATTTCAGCTATACCTTAAATATTCACATATACAAGATGATTCACTAAGCATACTCATTTCTATTTTTTTATTTAATAATAAACTTCTAAAAATTTCAATTTTTTAGAATTTTTATATGTTTTAATAAAAGATTAAACTATATTAAATTCTTGAAATTTTTTGTATTGCTTAATGAGTGTACTAAGGCAATACAAACATCTGTTTTTCAAATAGAAATCAACCTTTAATATTGTAAGTTATTTAAAGAGTATTTCATAAGCATTAAAAATTCAAACGATTAGTTTGCAGTTATTAAAATTTTTAATTTAGGGTAAGAGCCCTTAAAAATCATTTCAAAAAAATAAAAATATAGATGCAATATTTGGGTATGGTATTTATTACATACTTCAACCATTTTTTACAATTTATAATTTTCGATAAATTTATGTTAATTTCTATCATTTTTAAATAGTAGCATAAATTAATTGAAAAAATCCCGATAATTTGAAAATATAGTCTTGAAATATACTTAAAAATTTCAAAAAATTTTATTATTAAAAAAAACATTGGGTGAATATATTTGGATCACTAATGATGTTTACATGAAATGGTGTAGTACCCAATTTTGTAATATTAAGTATTAATGCTTTCGTCAATGTTTCAAAAATTTAACTAGGTACATACACATAATAGAAATATATCCTATTTTCAATTTTTTTTTTTTTGTGTTTGATTGGAGACGGAGAAGTCAGCCAAATAATTAAACAGGAACTTAACACTGGACAGCAATTTTTTTTATACAGACATAATATTTAATTATCTTATAAGTACTATAATTATACATACTAATTTAGTATTTGGTTATTTTAAGTTTTATAAGTTTCAATTTTTTAAGCTCGAGCATCTATACTCCAGTCATTTATTATAAAAATTATTTTCATTAACAAATATTATACACACTTTAAAAAGTACAACATTCTATTTAGTTTGTTATTGAAATATTATATTTAATGAAAATTTCATTTCTTAGGTCATCGTAGTAACATAATGCTATCGATGAGAAAAGTTATAATAGACTTTCATCTCTTGGAAATTGCCAGTGATAATAACTTTTGCCATAGTTAATCAATTTAATACTATAATAGATATTGAAACGTTTTAATGAAAAGTATCTCTGTTTTAACATGTATATATATCAATAGTAAATTTATTATGTGTTAATATAGTTACATTATAACTTTAATAGATAAATTAACTATAATTTAACTATAACTTTTATACTTAAATATAAATTATCAAAAATATTTTATTGAACTTCAATTTTAAGTATTAAACAATGTTTCTATTACAATGAAATTCATAATATATAATTCCGATGTATAATATCATTATTGTTTTGTATTTTCGGCATTGCTCAATTTTATTACTTTATCAACTGCAGTATTGAATATTATTGTTACGAATACTTTTTCTAGACTCTTTCTCAAAATATTACAAAATAATAATCGCATCGTGGTGTCGCAATAGTGCAAAAAAATAAAAATAAATAAAACATGACTTTTTTTGTACCCAACAAAGGTACTTATATAATTTGGCGGTCAGATAACTTTTCGTGAAAAAACCCCGTTCATTTGTTGATAGTCCTACAGTGTATTCAATTTCAGATAAAGTCCAAATTGTATTAAAAAAAAAAAAAAATAAAAAAATAAATAAAATAAAGAGGGTTTGGTGTCGTTACACGGGGTAATTACTACGCGGATATTGTGTGAATATATTGCGTTTTTAGCAAAGCAGAATTCCATAGGTAAATAATGTAGTAAAGATAAAACCAACCTCCAAAATGAAATAAAAAAAAAAAATCAGGTTTTTTGAGGGCAACTGTGATTTCCCACGAGACCATGTGCCGTGGGATTTTTAATTCATTCATCGTCCTTCTTTTTTTGTTCTAGTCTGAAAGACTGAAACTCTAAAAAAAAAAAAAAAACACCTCTCCGACCACGGGAACTGAGGTAGATAACTAAATTTTATTCCAAGTGAAAATTTTCTGGTATATTATATTTTATTGCCAGTATGCAGCGATGTTAGACTTAAATTTAAATTATACGATAACTAGAATAAGGTCGGTGAATATTATTAACTAATTCGTACTAACTATTTATAATAAATTAATAAACAATACAGATAACTGTCGAAAGCATGCAGCAACCGTGTAAAATGTTGTTTTTTATTATTATAATTTTAAAATCTATTTTAGGAACTATTTTAAGTTCATTCAAAACTTGCTGGTCAAAATTAATAGTTGTCGTTAAAAGGTCATTTGTGCAATGGTAAGCCAAACACATTAGTAAACTATCTACACAGACAACATAAGAAACGCATTTTTTAAATACTGCGAATAAATGAACCGAAAAGTCCATCAATTGTTTTTGAATAAATACTAAAGTGTATGATAATTTTTAAACCCGTAATGCAAGTATAATCTCGACTTAACGTCAGATTCATATATTTAATGTATTTATAATTATTAACCGTCATTTGATGATTTGCTAAACTTATAATTAAATACTCGCTTACAACATTTTTTTTTTTTTTTAATTGTGTTATATTGACAAAATAAATTTTGTAATATTTACTTATTAAGATCACATATTACAATATCATCGATTAAGTACTATAAAGTAACATATACTCATCATATTTATTATGATAAATTATTTATTTACAATTTATATATAATATTTACTCTTTATAGTATAATTTATCGAATTATGTAAATATTTGAATATTTGTGTCGTTTATTAAAATCATTAAATATTATAAATAATTAATTTAATCATTTGTTTGACATTATTTATATAAACTATTGAAATATTAAAAATTTTCACTTATCATAAAAACTATTTTAATCGATAATTTTTAAGTAGATACCTAAATGTTTTTATAAATATTTTAATTTTATTCGTTTATTAAAACCAGAAATTGTACAGTTATTACTTATCACTTAGTATACGTATTTACTAAAATTAATAAAATAATTAATAAAATCGTAAAAATATTGTGACGATTGCGTGATGGTCTTTTGCGTAGGTATAATACTTTTCTATGATTGATATTATATTATATATTTTGTGTTTTCATAATACCACTAAAATACAGATATTAGAACAAACGCTGGTCACTAACGAACCGTTACTTCTATCGTAATTTCGTCCCATAGAAAATACACATACCTATATTTAATATAAATAATTTTTGCTTTAACTTTTGTATAAGTTCTTTATTAGCGTTACACATTCGCCGAGCTCAGATTATTATTTTAATATCCGTACAGAATATAACCACTATTCGTAACACTCTAGCCGATATTATATTATCATTGGTCTATAATAACGAACGATGTAGGATATTTATTCCTCCTTATTATAATTTATAACATTTTGGAATAAGAACAATAATTATTGTATGTTATAACTTATAAGCCTGAGCGTGATAGTAACATCTTTAAAGTTTTTAGCAAAATGTTTATGCATTCATCAAACACAAATCTTGCAAACGCTTATATCGTTCAGAGAGTTAGACCCTTACCGTATTCTATTTCTATTGACATTATATATAATCATCAATTATGCTGATTCTGTTAGTCATCATTTCACCATAGTTAAGACAATACTCGTTTCCTCTAACATTCTCTCATTCTCAGACTATTTTAATATTCTATTGTTTTTTGTTTTTTTCGTAACAAAGAAATTTCATTATCCAACAATTCACATAAATATATATTTTTTCCGCATTTGAATACTTTATGTATATTATTCCACACTCACATATTTCCTTAATACTCTTATATCATCTATTATATAGCCTTTATAATATCCTAGTTTCATTTCAAACTCATATACAATTTTAAAAAACCATTTCCCTTTGCTCATAATTTATTCTTGCCATGTACACCGTCGAATCGATTGCTTTCATCAATTATATCGTTTGAATTACGCGTTTACTTTTATTGCGACTATGTGTTTCATATAGCGGTACAGGTATAAGCGTTAAAACGCCAGATTCCCTTTATTAAAATTATGTCCCTATATAGATTATTTTTTTGTTTTTCGCATAAGGTTTCCGACGACATAATTTTTCGTGCCAAAGGAGAAAAATGGGATATCGATGAAAAAAATGTCTCGACTCTCGAGTTATTTTTATAAAATACAACAAAGAAATTTATAACAGTTATAAAAAAAAAAATTACCGCTTATACCGTAGGTAGATAATATTATATATATACAATATATACACACCTTTGAAACGATAAACGACACTCGTTAATTTCTATTACATTCCTCTCTCCACGACTCCGCGGTGACGGAGATACCAGATGTGTACATACACAGTCACCGCCCTCCAACCATTCAAGATGAAGGGTTGTGTTCATTAAAACGTTGAGAAATATTTTGACGCCTTATCTGCCCTAAGCAGGTCTATCCTTTCTTGTTGACAAAACTGCCGCTATGACGACAACACCGAAACCGACTCGCACCTTGCACAGCTACGACTGCGTACCTATATACGTACAGTAAATACAGAAAATACACCGTCGAGACCCTATATTATAATAACTTGAAAGTACACGAGATCGATGGTTGGGAGAGGTGTAAGACTGCATGGAAAGAATATAGGGGCAAGGGTTTTAGGAGTCACGCACAGGTGGTTTTACCCGTTTAAACATCACTAGCGCCCATACTCACGACTTCGACACTCGACTCGTGTCTTAGTCGTCTCCAGAAACGATGTTTTTGTGCCCGCAGCATCTGGCCTTAAATACTTACAAAACATAATGCATTATTGTCGTACCACTCAACCATTGCCGCCTTTCAGATAATTAATACAAACATGCTTACGCAAAGAGTTTCGTCAAATACCGCGTAGCGCTTATAACAACAATAATAATAATAAGACGACCCGAGTTGTCACCCTCTACACCATTTAACATATTCGATTTTATTTTTTGTACTGTGATACAGCAAACAGAGTCTCGAACGTTAGCACAAAACCGAAATAATAGAAGTTTTAGGAGGAAGAAGTGTCTTAAATATAGTTTGACAAATGTATCACATTGCACCCACTTTTCAATTTCAGACTCAAAACATGTCGGTACAACATGCAATTTTTTCATGGCCATGGTCTCCATACTTTTGGGAGCCGGTCACGTACACGTTTCGCACAATACGTTGTGGTAAGACGTGCCGGGTAGCTTGTAAAAAAACCGGAAATTCACTAGACAATAAATATATTTTTTTAGTGGAAAACCCCAAAGCTTACGCTCTAATACTGTCATCCCATTCAATCCTTATATAAAAAATCTCAAAACTAAGACTAACTTTCTAAAACTGGTAATTTTGTCACAAAGAATAGTGAATCTAACTAATGATAAAACAAAATATTTCGTCTCATAAAGCGTTCAATAATTGACGTTGAGAAATTTTAAGAGCAAAATTATTTGATTATAATATAATCCAATAAGTAATACGTGTAATTTATACGTACAATGTACATAGTATATATGTTTATTATATAATGTAAACCCAAAATCCCCAGTATGTGTGACGTGAAAATATGTATCAGTGTATCAAATCCGTGATTACATAAATATATTAAAAATCTATAAAACTTAAATGTGCGTATAATAATTATTCCTATAATTATATTTTTTCAAACCACATTGTATTTATATTATTATATAGTGAAGTATTGAATATCCATTAAAATCGATGCTAATTAGGTAATCTATTCTGCCATTTTTCTAAACAGGTTTCAATTTCAATTACAGAAAAAAATAAAAAAATATTATTTATTTTCATTGTAGTAACAGTGTTGTTTTTCGTACAATGCAGCGATGACCGAACATACAATACTTTTCTTTCTTATTAATATGAATACATGTCTAGTACGTCAATATTAAAATTTTCAATATTTAACAAATTATATAGATATTGTATCAAATTTAAGTGCGTATTGTTATAGTTATGGTAAGTACTCCGAGTAGATACTAATCCCCGATGGATCTTTTCACACTGCTTAATTTACTGCGATTACGATTATTCTCTCGGGTGTAGAGCTATTGTTTAAAATGTATCATCCCCCATCATGTTTAATAATGTTTAGCTCTTATATTATATAATTTGATTCAAATTTTTTTATGTAATGAACATTATTTATTGTATATTATTATTATAATTTACAACAATATAATAGGCGCATAAACCTAATATAATAAATTGTTCATAAACTGATTGTATTTATTTTGTTTTTATGTTGTTTTTTTTTTTTTGTTTCAGGGAATATTATTACAACAGGTAGGATATATATTTTTATATTATATTTAAAAAAAAAAAAACTAAATTATAACTTCAATGTGCATTGCTGTTTAAAAGAAATCGATTACCCCGTTGTGTCGGCTTTCCCGCATCAAAAAACTACGGTTCAGAAGATGATATAAAATTGAAATTTAAGTAAAAATAAAAATAATAAAACGAGAGACCGAATATAAGTTTCAGTGAATTTAAATAATAACTCTGTTAGGGGTCGTTTTTTCAGAAACCCGTTTAAAATACTCCGGAGGCAACTTTTTATCACGACGAAAATAATAGCTCTACGTACTTTTCTTGCACAACTAACTTTTTCTTCTCATATTGCGTTTTGTCGCCTAAAGAAAATCAATTTTTGACGAGACTCGTTTGCCATTCAAGAGAATGAAAAGATTTTCGTTTCATAATGAAGATCGTAAATTGAAATCTAAAATTGTATTTAATAAAAATAATTTCATTATAATAACGTTGAAAATGGACACTGAGAATAATAATAAAAAATATTTTGCGAGAATTTTAACTCTAATATTTATGGATAAAAAACAATTTGCCTTGTTTTAGATTTTTTCAGTGACGTGTTACGCTTTTAGTATAAGCAAAAATATTTTTAAATTAATATGATGTCTGTTCAATGTATATTATATCTCATAAAAATCGAATAAATAGCGTACACCTTTCAGAGTCGCAATACCGTTCTCGATTACATTTTTTATCTCTTCATTATTTACTAGTTTACCGCAACATGCTTAACGCAATATTTGTATTACTACAATAATACCGTTGTGATACCGGTGTAATGATATAAATGTCAATTGTGATGATAAAGCATGCTTCTGCAAGTTTGTTTATCGACGAAACGTAGAAGGGGAAAAAAATAAAAATAATAATAATAATAATAACAAGTACTTTAGTACTTTAGGTAATGTTGAGATGAAAAATTGGCAATAAGTCGTTTGATTGCTGTCAGACAAGTGCAGTGTGTACATATCACCACAACTCGTACCGTGATGTTTAATAATGTATATTATGTACGTGTATAAATTATACATGTATATGTATATATGTTTGTGTGCCAAGATGGGGTCGGTACGGCTGTCAGTATAAAAGTCGACCAAGAAAAACTTTTGAATATTTATGAATTTATCTCTTTCGTTCGATGATGGATGACAACGAGGGTACATATCCATGACATTATTCTAACCACGAGGTATTATTATATGATACGGTTACGGCAAAAGTCGCGGTCGGTGAGCGATATGAAGTCGTTTTAATAGATATTCGTCTGCAATTAGACTAGGAATTCGATTTTGCGGTATCTTTGACGTTAACAAAGAGACAACAGTCCGGTACGCTATGTGATGTTTTTAATTCATTTTAGATGTAATATCGTTAGAATTAGAAACTTTTCAGTTTCAGTGATGAACGGATGGTGAGAAAATGGTATACCATAGAAATATACAGCGCAACCTTTGAAAGAGAAGCTGCAGAGAGAAAGAGAAAGCTATCTAAGAACAATGTGGTCGTTAAGAGTGTGAAATGAACGTAGGAGTATGTAAATATGCAAAAAGGTGAACGAAATTGTATATGTTGAATTTTCATCAGCATTTCTCGCGTGCAAAACTGTTATGGTGGCGTTGGTGAGAACGCAAAGAGTGAATTATACGGTGCACGAGAACACAGCTATTTCGAGGCGCAACAGAAGAAATAAAAAATAACTAAATAAATAATAAAAATCTATTATTCAAAACAGACAATCCGAAAACGCTCTTTCCGTTTGGAGTGCTGACGAGACATTATTTAAACCTAATTTAATTCAAGACGTTCGCCTTTGTACCACTACTACCCTAATGGATCGAAGCCGATACGCTTCGATCAACGAGGGTGGTTTTGGAAAAAGGTGTCGTTTTTCATTTTATTTTAATTTTTTTTTTATTTTTTATTTTTTATACTGGTCCGTACGCACACAACTTTAATGCCATAGTGAATCCGTCAAACGTTAAGTGATATACGTCTATAAAAATTGATTTGCTTTTCCAAATGTGAATATATAGAAAATATATTATATTCACACTTATCAGTTATGCGCATTGTATATTATATCTGAAGATTTCAAATTATATAAAATATTTATACTTAATGTTATAAATTCACTAATTTAAAATAAAATAAAATCATATATATATTTGCACTAATTAAAAGTAACAGCTTTTTGTTTTGAGTAATTTAAAATTTTTATTTAATAGCTTACAACAACACAAATACACATAAATTAACTAAATTAAAAAAAAAAAAAAACAATACATGTGCAATAGATTTTACAGTATCATAAAATATATTGAAAAATATAATAGTTAAGATTAACTACCTATATGGTGTATTTATAGATTTTTAACGACAATATAAATTATAATAATATGTTATTAAAAACGATTTTGGAGGTTGTTATTTCTTAAATTTACAGAATTCAAGGTACTTATATATTATTGGTAACATTCTTCGCACTTATTTAGGAGATAAAACTGATAAATATATTATTAAAAAATTGAAATAGTATTGATATCGACAATTTAAAAGGGGACAGTAGCGTATTCGGTTATAATTTTCAACAATAGTCTGATTTAATTTTTAGTATGTTTGAGAATATAAGTTTTTAATTTAAAATATATTTAAAAAATATAAATATTACATCGAACAATATTTATTCTTAAAATTTATTTAAACAAATAAATAATAATAATAAAAAAAAATTTTAGTTTATTAAACTTAAGTTTAACAAAATAAATAATCAAATTAATATAGTGTACCAAAACCAATTTAAAATAATTTAAAAACATATAATATTTTGTTTGATATAAAAATAAGCAATATTTAAATAATCGATTAAGTAAACACTTAAATAATTTTATAGTTTAAGTGCAATATTATATAATTAGGTACATAAAAATGGCTAAATTAAAATACATTCTATAATATAGTAACAGTTATTTACACATAAAATGTATGTTGAAAAATAATAATTAGTCTTTTATAATAAAATTATGGAAATATAGTGTATACAGATTTGCAAACAGGGATTTTGAAGTGTTTGAAAATTAAAGGATTTTTTATTGACATTTAAATTAAAACAAAATCGGTTAGTGAGTTTTAAAGCCCAAAACATGTTTTTCTGTGCTAAATATATAACAGTCATCCTACAAACCATTAATTAGTCTAGACGTTTCTTTAAACGAAGTTTCGTGTCTTACTCGGTGTGAATAAATTTTTGCAATAGATGCCACCATAACTAATTGGTAGTTTCGTTCACCGTCTTAAAATATTTAATTCATTAAATGTAAAATCACTAAGCTACTAAATGTGTTTCTCAAATTTGCAATATAAAGCTTTACTGTATGATATCCTAACCAAATGTTACATAATAATATAATATAAAACCGATAGAGTATACAATTAATTTACAACAACAATTTTTATAATATTTTTTTAGTTTTTATTAAGTTTAAAAGTACCTCTTTAGATATATTAAAATATTTTATGAAATAAAATGATAAAAAAAAAATAGTTAATTAACTGGTTACTTTTAATACCCGAATATTATGAAATAAGTTTTAATTTTGTTAGTTTTAACATTTGATGTAGGTACTAATGTACACAATTAATATTTAATAAATAAATACCTATCTTTTCATATTAATCACATTTTCATTAACAACTGAAGTTTTTTTTTACAATATTTGAATCATAATAATAATTACCATGTATAATATATTTACAAATCACTTTTCACATAGGCTCTGCGTGTGTACTGTATGTGTGTTGTGAATGTAGTTTGCGCTCGATCAGCGGCGGCAACGACGACGGCGTCGACAGCAAAACTTGTGCGATAAAAGTTTAACTCAGAAACATGCGAAAGCAGATGGGGGGGGGGGGGTTATGGTGGATTCGACGACAATGGTATAGCGGTCGCGACTACATTATGGCAAAATTTCACTCCCTCCACATCCCTTACCGAACCACCGCCACGGCTAGCTATTATGTTACATTAGTTACGGACTGTCGAGCCAGATAAACGACGTTCGTTAGCGTACCTACCGCGCCCCTTGCAGCTTCACACCCACAGACACACTATGTGGGGTATGTACACATGAATATATGTTACTATAGATATAGGTATTTGTACTGTACAGGCATGTGTGTGTGCGTTTGTCTTCTTCCGCCGGCACCATCACCCCTGATACTGCAGAAGCCGCGGACCATTTCAAATTCGTCAGTAAATTTACTCTCTAAAACTTGTGTAACTTTCGTAATTATTAACGACTACACGCTGCACCAGTGCGTGTACAAGACGATAATATATATTTGTTCAAAAGCTTGTATGGGCCGAGTAGCGGGCATGTATTAATATGCATCGATAGATGAAATGAAAAAATAAATTTAAAAACAAACGATCATAATACAAAATATAATAATATACACATTGGTACATCGTACATAATACTTAAATAGTTGTTCTTGTGTACGTAAAGTGGTAAGTTTGCGAATTTTTTGATTTCTTGTAGTTTAGCAATACTATCCTGTAAAATAAAAATGCATTTCTTTTTGAAAAAAAAAACCAATACCTATAATTCACAAATATTTTAAAATGTATATTATGGACAAATAACATATCATAGATGATAAATATTTATGTACCATCATCTTTCACTTAATTTAAACAAGTGTTTCTTAACCTGAGGGTAGCTAACTTATTATTTAGAGTCAGTGGAGTCACTAATCTATGATTTAAATCATATTTGGTTATATTTATTATGGTATAACAACAAATCAACTTTTTGTTTAATTAAAAATAACTATAATATTTTATGTATTTTATGTACAGTACTTTTAATATTAATTATTAATAATAATCAATGCATGTATATAAAAATGTATATTTAAGGGGTTGCTAAAAAAATGAAATTCAAAAAGGCGGTTATCACATTAAAAAGGTTGAGAAACACTGATTCTAAACTATTAACTAAAAATGTATGGGTACATTATGAAAATACATCTTTATATTGAGACTTCTTAAAGTTGTAAACCCTATAAGTATATATAGTTTAAAATAACAGTTACCATTGTCAAAAATTAAATAACGTATAAAATTGCTGAGATACAAATAAATAAATTAAAATAAATGTATAATTTTTTTATCACAAAAATTAACTTTTATTTATTAATTATTATAAATTAAAAATTAAAACATTTATGTACATAATCACATTAGTGCATAGTCGATAAAGATTTTTATATATTAAAATTCTTGAAAAAATGTTGCTTTTGAATATAAATTAATAATAAATACCATCATTTATAAAAATAAAAATTTTATTAAACGATAACTTAAAAAATATCAATTTATTTTCAAAAATTTTGCTTAAGAAAAAATGGATATTTTTGAAAAATATACAGTAATTTAATAAATTTTTAAGAAAATGAGATTTTCCTACTAAAATAATCACTTTATACTACATGTACCTATATATGTACAATTTACAAGATCGTATCTAAAATAAATAGGCATGCGTTCATCTATTGAAGTATTTATAAGTACGCATCATTCGTACACACAAAACGTACATCATACATGACGTATATATTTATAAAATATTTTAGTGAGAGAAAAAAAATATGCATAATAAAACATATTTTAACAGCTCGATTGCTCTACTTTAATTTTTAGACAATATAATATTATATTAACATACATGAGTTATTATATATATATAATATTTTATTACTCACATGTGAACGATACGCGAGATAGGAATGGAATTTCTGTAAGAATTTCGTTGTAGTCAAAATGAACCGTATAAGAATTTATTGAAAATTTCAGATGGTTATATATGTATGTGTACAATCCCGAAAGGGATCCACCGTAATGGGCGTGCCATATTATTATATGTACACTACATACATTTTATACGTTTAAGCCGAACGACAAGTAATAGTCGAATGTATAGCGAACGACTGAACAAGTATGAAATTTTTGAAATATTATGCGAACATACTTATGCGATTATTACGGGGTCGTCAAACTGTGTACATCTACGTAATTTATCGCGTTTACATTTGAAATCATGACGTTACACCCTCGTAAAGACACGAGCTGTGCATTAATGACAACATGCACACACATTCACCTATATAATATTATTGTTGTGCTTATTATTTTATTTTGTATGTGAACATTTGTACGAAACGTTTCATGAGATCAGTCTGTCGTAAAAATTTCGAAATTCGTATTGAAATTTAGGTAGGTTTTAATATACGATTTATTATGACGACAACAATAAAATTGTTTTTTTTTCTTTGTGAAACCCTTTGAAAACATATTATATAAATTAAACATTGGTATAAAAATAGCCATAATTTCTATTAAATAAAAAAATCAGATATTGATCTTAAAACTAAATAAGTTCTATACAAGAAATGTTAAATGCCTTTTAGTTTTACAATATTTAGATGTGGAAAGCAGATAAACCATAAACTTTCGAAAAATTCAAATATTCCAATCAATTACATCCCGCCTGATGACAGATGTGCACTTTACTGCATTTATTTTCTAATCACACTTTGCACTCCAATTTACATTTAGACATCATATCCAAAACTGTATCCATCTACAATCGATATTAGTGTATCCCAACCTAGGGGGCGCGCCCCTCTGGGTGGGCGTTTTAACGTTGTTGAAGTGGTGTAAGCAGTTATTATGAATTAAATTTATATTTATTAAACTATTTTTATTTTACAATTTAGGGAAAAAATTAATAACGACTACCAGTTATAGGGTACTTATCGATAAAGGTTACGAGTATTAAAATATATTCTATTATTAACTATTATTTATATTTTATACTAATTTATTATTATAATTATTCGTATTAATTGATTATTTCACTATATTATTTATTGTTATTCATATTTTATAATTATTATCATCAATAAAAAAATGTCACAGTTGCATAGTTGTAAATTTTAGCTTCTTTTTATAAGTAATTTATGCTAACTCACACTATCTGCACATACGCTTATTGTAAAAAAAAAAAATAATAATAAATAGATAATTAACAGATTATTTATATCTCAATTTAAAAAAGAAAAAATTACATATAACTTAAGTATTTTTCGTGGCTGGTCGTGGACACCAGCTTTCCAATAGAAGCCGCAATTAAATACGCATACTATGGCGGCCACGGCTTAATAGCAAAACAGTGTTTATGACGCGGTCGCGAAATTGACTGTATAATGTTAATACGCGTTTATATATTATTATATATTTGCATTATGCTTTATGCCAATAAAAATCTTTCGAAAATCCTTCAACGATGCACCCTTAATGTGTCGCATCAAAACGCTAGCAATGGCAGTCCCCGAGTTAGGATTTGCTATTATATTATGATGTCGGGCTGTAGTTGTATGGATATAGAATGATATATATATATATATTTCATCAAATGCAAATTTAAATGTCACCTCGACGAGACAAGATTAGTGTTTGTCCACCCGCCTTCCTTTCAAAAAGGGTATGTGTCATCGGTCGATCGCGTATGTTTAATGCTGTCGCATTTAACGCGTCATGACTAGAAAGGTGTATCCAATTTTGTGAAGAAATTAAAATTCAAAAACCAACAAGAAAACTACGGATCCCTTATGTATAATATCCGTAGACTCACTCGATCGATAAACGTATAAAATATAAAACGAGAAATTAAATCAATATGCTGTTAAAACGCATTTTAAGCGTTAGCGTGATGCGGAGGAGGATTGTTTTTAATGGGCCAAAGAGTTATGATCCGGAAAAACAGGGCAGACGTGATATCCGAGTACAATATCGAAAACCCGATGAATTACAACCCATTGTGCGTTCGCAACCCCCACAATAATTGGCCCGACAGTGGAGGGGTAATCGATTTAGAGGAAATGGAAGTAACCTACTAAAATATAAATGAGAAAAAATACATCGTGTCTGCATAATTAATTGGGTATTAAAAATATCTATATAATTTAGGTATTCATCTTGTGAACTTTACCTACCAATAAAATATATTAAAAATAAGTAGACATAACACACTTGCTAATAATGAGTATGTTGGCGGTTTTTCACACGTTACTACACGTGTTATAGCTATTATGCCGCCTCATCGTCGACGATATCACCACCGACTGCTGTAACAGGTAACAACTGCAACAACGGTGGCTCAAAGGCTTCGAAACGTCAAAAGGTTAGCCATCAGTTTTCGGCAAAGGGTGGCCGTAATCAGAACGGAGGCTGCGGTGGTGGCCAACCAACAACCGGACAAGGGCTACAGCAGCAGTCATATCATGCCATCGTGCCGGACCAACTCAAGCTTTACAGTGAGTTAATTTTTATAATATGTATACATACTTGTTACGTTTTGCAGGTCACGAATTCCTCCATGACGCACAAATTTTTTATTCCTCCTTCTAATCATCAAGTTATTTATTTATTTATTTATTTATTTATTTATCGGGCAATAATATGAGAAAAATAATTAGAATAAAACTAATTTTTACATTAATAGCAATAAAATTCTTATAAATTTTAAAAGAAGAATCAAATGTATAGTTAAAAATTATTATGGAAATAAATAAAAAATTGGCTTCATACATTTATATATACATAATATAGTTTAAACATTATACATAATATTATATTATCTTAATTAGACATTTGGTGACGATGAATCAGACTAGAAAAAATAATTCCTTGTTTGAATTTATTTTTGTATATTATCTACGTACTTATACTTTATACTTAGTTTAAAATATATTAATACATGCTATGAATTTATAGAAATATTTATCGAAAATCTAAATGCCTATTACATATTATAATCTTGATACTTTATTATATCTATTCTTTAATAAATTAAAATTGTGTTAAACAAGAATTAAGCATTTTAAAATAATATAAAATACTTCACTCAAAAAAAAAAAAAAAAAATTATCTAAAAATACAAAAACGAGTTAAGTTTGAAATTAAATAAAAATAATAATATTTTAAATACACGTTTCATTCCAATCACCCGCATTATTGTGTTTGAAATATTTTTTTCTCAATTATAAATATGTTTTAATATGCGATCGATACAAATTAATAACTATAGACATTGTTAGTTTAAAATAATTAAACGATTAAATCACGTTACCTAGTTGAACTAATTAAACGTACGAGATAATTAATATCTATACAGAATTCTACTAACCTACTGATATTTCTCAGGCAATCCAGACATATTGATATGTGGTAACTGCCGCGAGATGTTCACTGAACTGCAAGGTCTGTTGGATCACAAGAAGGAATACTGCAAGCTCAGGTTTACGTGCAAATGTAACAACTCAGTCAAGCCCAATTTCAACAATAATAACAGTAATTTTTTTATATTATTTATACAGTACTATTGAAAAATAAGTAACTTAAACAGTGGTTACCAGCTATAACACTCTCATGACACCAACACTTAATTTTAATCACTTCATAGAATCAATAATATTATATTAAATGTATATTGATTTCAGTTTATACGCGATATACATGCTTAAATTTGCTTGTTCTGGTATACTATAGCAGTAAGTAGGCTACAGGCTACAGGGTCATGACTCCACAATGAACCACACGGAACCCATCCTAAAAAAGTTCAGCCATTCCCAGATCTGACCTAAATTAATTATAACCTACAAGAACTAGAAAATATATAACTATAAACCAAATTACTATTTATATGGAAATTTATCGAATTAAAATTAACTACTAACGTCTTGTCGTTAAAAAAAGAATATCAAATTTTCCATTGTCATCGTTATTACAACGTTTGCCGAGCCGAGTGATCGTTATACAAAAGTAATTAAAAATAATTTATCGAAATCTAACAGATTAACGCATTATCTTTAAATATTATTATATAACAGCATTCATTCATTTATTCATTCAAAAAAAAAAAAATCGGTGCTTTCAATTATTTTAAAGCGCTATTTGAAAAAATTGGTCGTGTTCTTATGGTCAAAATGGTAGTAAACATTATACGAGTACCTATAATAATTTTAACTTAAGAGAAAACCAATTAAATCGTCTGAACAATGCAACTGACAGTACACCTCGCGCTGTACATAATATAGTATAGGTACCTAACCGATTTTATTTCTTTCCATTCGATCGGTAAACCGATCGACCGTAATCTTATACTCTATAGTACCTTAGCCTATAACACACTTAACTATTAATTAACTAATGGTGTGTGCGTACAAATAGGTTATAGTAACGATAGTCGATAATAATAGCATTTAATGAATCATTCCTTTACAGCCTCAATTAAGAAAAAATTTAATTAATACAAGATTTTGTTACATCTATATACATTTAGATCAATGAAATATAAAATATAATTTATAGAATTCTCCCATGCCTATTAATTTTGAATACGTGGTATGGTCTTAAAATATTGTTGGTGCTCAGCGTGACCAAAATTATAGCGTTCACTAATAATAGGTATAGGTTTAACATATTATGTCATAATATCTTCGATACATGGTAGAAAAATAAATATAAATAGCCTTATAGGTCAAAAATATGCATAGTCCTTTAGAAAAAATGAAATTAAAGAAAATCTTTATTTACCATTTAACTTATTATTTTCGAGATATTTTTATTTAAAATATATATCCTACAATAAAATATTTTATTAAATAATAAAATTAAAATTTATTTATGTTCAAAATGATTTTATATGTAGATTAATACAAAACATACGACTAATTTTCAATAGCTTATATAGTTATCATGTATAAACGTGATCATAACTTGATTACTATTTAAAATATATTTTAAAAGCTAAGTTGTTATATTGGATTCTTTACCTAACTAACTATAGTTAACTGTTAAATTAAAAAGTTTAAATTAATCAACTTTTTAACTTTTTAATGTCCTCTCTAATCTTTGTAAATATGTTTAATAACCGAAATATTAAATTAATTAATTAATTTTTTGCTTTATTAAATTTCCCTAATTATTTATCTTGTCTGTGCATCAATTTGTAAAATATATTCAACAAGATGACGCGTTAATATACATAATATGACAATAATCACTCATTTTATTTCTAGTCACCAATTTTCTCAAAACAATGATAATTTCAATTAAATATATTTAAGTAATTGAGTGATAATTAAAACCTGGATTTTAAACTCTTACTCTAAACTATACCTATCAGTTATCGATTATTTTTTTTATGATTGTGTTAGAATTTACATTCACCACACTTTAATAATAATACATAATAATATATTAAATGATTTGTATTATAGTATTTTATTAATTTTTTTATCATATTATATATTTTTTTTGAACCAATTTGTTTCTCCTGTTCTGCAGAATGGCCCGGAAACTTGAACGAAGGCTGCATATCTTTGATGTGTGTCCAGTGCAAAGAATCATTCGATAGTGCTTGGGATCTCATGGTACACGCGCAATCGGCACATATGATGAACGTCTATCAGTTGACTACCCGGGACCAGGTTACAGCATCGCCTTTGGGTACAGAATCAGAAAACGGATCGACGGTAAGTCGGATTCGCGTTAATACGAAATACGTTGTTATACTTACAACATTTCATACTTGCATCAATCGCCCTCCTTTATCATTAACATAATTTTCTGGTCTTCCGCTATTGTGAATACCGATTTTGTTTTTGAAATACGAGTTTGATACGTTAACTTCACTTAAGGTGCTTATCTAACTTGAATCATCTACTAAAATATTAGAATGTATAATGCAGATATTTGTGTTATAAAGTTATACAATGTCTTGCAAAAATATATTACCTGGTAGATAACAAGATGTTATTAAACTAATAATTTGTTAATAATAACGATTTAATAGTTTAAATATAGTCAATTTTTGGAGGGTTTAAGATTTCAATAATTGATCAATAGTTAAGTTCATATTAACTTTCAAAATATTATTTGTTAATCTTAAATCAGTTATTTTTAGACATACGGTTTATTGAAAATTATTATTTTTACCACTACACGATAGTAAAATTGGTAAAACGCTCTTTAATTTATTACACAAACGAATTATTTATTTCTCAATCATTGTACAATGAAAAACTATTAGATTAATGTTTATTCATGGCAAATCGAATCCACCTATGTTTACCTGTTTACCGGAACACGAAAATTAAAAGCGTACTTAAATCTTTTTTTATTATTATACTCCGTTACCCCTAATTATAATTTATTTATTAATCGATTTAGCTTATTTTTATAAATATACAATTGAAATCTTATCATTTGCATGTAATGAACAAAATCAAAATTTTATTATTTAAACATTTTAAACTAAATGTATTTATAATTATACATTTTAAAGAAAAAAATATAATCATACTTATATTTAATTTTATATTAACTAAATAAAAGAACCAAACTTATAAATTGTTTAAAGTTATTTTATTTTCGTATTTTTAATAATTTTCTCCAATATTCTAATTTCGTATTTTCATGCTGTATTATTATATTATACGAATACGCTTATAAATCTGCAATTGATTTCAGTCTAACACATGAACGATTTTATGTAGTTAATTCAAACAAAAAAGTAACTGTTTGTGTTAGCTAAGATGCAGTATAGTGTCTATATAATTTCCTTATTTTAAAAATTTAAACGTTTTTAAAACTTTTTCAACTCTGCAGTCTGCACACAATACGAATGATGATTATTTTAAATTAGGTATGCTATTAAAATTTAAACATAATACATTTTAGTTTACCATCGTTGCCGTACAAATCATGAACTTGTCAAACAGTCAAAATAAACTTATATACATTTCACACGCTCTAATTTGATTCGTACGCAAATATGAATAAATCCTAGTTTACCATAAATCGATTATCGTGAACTACAATAATATGATTTAATTCCACTGTCATTTTTCGTTCATCCGCTTCATCTAATTTTATACATTTATACAACAAAACGTACCCAAGGAGTCGGAACACCATGATATTATGTCGGACTGACTGTGTACGAGGGTCGGCTAATTTAACAAATGCATTTCTGATGCGAGTGAAACGTAGGCAGGTTTACGCATAAGCCGGGTGGGTGGAGGTACGCTGCGTCAATTAAACCGCGATCCCCGGGGGCATGTCCGGCAAGTTGATCTTTTATTTTATTCTTTTTGAGATTTTGCCAACGCGATATACACGAACAAATTCTGCCCGACGTATTGTCGGTATAGATATGTGTTTTCGTTTTTTTGTTTTTTTACACAAACGAGTGTATTTCTAAAAGGTCAGACCAAACAGCAATATCATTATCTCAAGGCACGTTTCCAAGCATTTTAATCCATTTTATTATACTATGTGATTAAATAACTTTTTTTTCACATCGTTTTAATAATCAATCTTTACGAGAACAATATTGAAATTAATTGAATTGTAAACAGTTGTATCATTGAGAATACATTGTTAATATTCCAAAAAGTCCTTATTTAAAAATAATAAAAACACCTTAACAAAGAAATTGATCATCTAAATATTAATGTGTTGTCTAAATTAATGTCAACTAAATATAGATAATATGCTATGTAGACTGACAAGGTTTATTTGATAAACTACAATCCATGCCTATCTATATTTATTCTGACACATAATTTGACCTTATAGAATTTAGTCTATTTTTCGTATATTACTATTTTCGTTTTAGCCCCTCGAGATACTTTTGAAAAGTATTGGCCACATATCATACTTACTTTATTATATTTTATATTTTAGCTTGCAACCAGCAACCATAACGTAGATTGTCTAACACCATTACACCAACTAGCTATAAAACCTCAAAGGAATAGTGAAAATACAACAAAAACACATTTCACTGATTGTCCAACCGCAAAATGATCTTTCAAAGACACGTCAACTATTCATCCCTCCTGACTTTATATATGTTTATTATTTTGTGATATAGTGCAATATTATAAGTTAAAACATACTTAAAATTAAATTATTTCATGCAAATATTTACTATTGTTTTAAAAATAAAATTTGAGTCACAAGAGCAAAAATAAACTATTGTAACAAAAATAATTTACTGTAGATCAATTTGCATTGCGTACGTTAAAGACAATATTGCGATTTGAAAATCAGAAACAAACGATATAAAAAAATTGTTCCTAAATAGATAAAAAAAAACTACTGGACCGTTTTCAATATAGATTCCTTGAGACTTGGAAAATGTTTACAGCTTATTTTTCTAAACCTTATAGGTCGTTATTGAGTATTTTACCTGATGAATTTATTTTGGCTTACAAAAATTGAATAATCTAATATTATATCATCAATTTTAATGGTAATCATTGTTAACGTATTATCAAACTATTATTTGTAATAGAAATAAAGTATACAAAAAATTTAAAGATAAAAAAATTATCTTAGAATTGATCACTATAATTGTATTTGTACTATATATTTTAACTGAAACAAAATGCGTAACCAAAAAAAAAAAAAAAAACAAAAAATAAATGGATTAATTTTAAGACAGAAAAATTTAGATAATAAGGATACTATTATATAATAAATAAGCTTTTCGCTCTATATTGAAGTTGAAACTTTACTCGCTTGTGCGTTGTGTAGTGTGTGCGACGTTTGGTTCTAAGTTGCGTGTCAGAACGCTATATTTTCGATTTTTTTTTTTTTAAATTTTTAGTCATAAATTCGACAAGGACACAAATCCCGCGTTTTGTGTGTATCCATGACGGGTGGGAGGCCGAGCTATACGCATAGAACTTCAGTATATCTATCGTGACGCGGATGGCGGTGGCAATGACGAATATTATACATATACACAAACGTTTCAGGTCGATTGACTTCGCGTGTATTTTTTACAACGTTAGTATACCTATGTACATAAACGCGATGGACGAATTATCATACTGCCACTACACTTGTCCATTACGACAAAATACCCTCTGACGCAAACATATGGCGAGTAGGTAGTGGCCGGCTTGCCGGCTTGAGGTCGTAATTAAAACACGGAACAGAATCAAAATATACACGTTAAACGCGCGAGTACACACAATAATATACACACAGACAAGTCGAAGAAACGTATAATATGTAGATACGGTTAAGCTCGCAAACGTAGCACCACCCGGCGTAACGAGGGAGCGGCCACACCCTAAAAACTGACGGAATGATAACCACCGGAAGTGATCAATCGTGGGCGTGGTGCGTGACGACTGGGCTTCGTGTCTAGGACTTTGTCTGACATTAAGTTATTAAAGCTTCTACCGCCGCTGTTACTATATTGTGAAGTAAATAAAAAACAACAATGCGATAACCCATGAAGCGTGCTGCAAACACGACTTATAGGCTATAGCAACCGAAACCCATACACGGCGATTTCCTGCGTTTATAGTATATAATATATACGCGTTTTTATGCATATGTGTATGTGATTGTGATTGTGTCAATACCAATAAATTCGAATAATGGTGTGGATAGACATATTGTTGACGAACAGTTAAAACAAAAATTTTATAAAAGTCGCAGTCAAACATAATAATAAAATTTATTAAACGATATAAACAATATTAATGTTATGATAATCAAAGTGAAGATAAAAAGTGTAGTAGTAAAATAAATACTATTTTATCTACGGTACCTTTATTTAATTCAACTAATTTATATATGATTCGTGTATAATATTATGTTATTATTGAGATGTGATGATGTATGTAATGTGAGCCATATTGTATTATTGTTGTATTGATGTTGTATATTAATATTACTGGAATGACGGGTAAAAACAGCGGCTCACCCTGTGTGACAACTAAAGTCCATGGACACGTCACCGCCTCTCCTTAATTCACTCGCGACATGGATACTTCACGGTGAATACAAATAGCTAGGGGAATAGGCGCCATCGTGTCGCCCATAACGATGCTTCAATATGATGAAAGTCGAAACGAAATACGGACGTGATATATCTATAATATATATGATGTTATACATGTTGTATACATTGTCATTATTTATGGGCTAACATTCATTCTATTGAATTTATATATTATCTTAATGTATTATCATTAATCAAAATGATATAAATATATATATAAATAAAAACAACAACCGTCATTCACAGTAACAAAAATCTGAGTTTTCCAAATATTAAGCTGTTATTTAAAAATGAACTCAAAAAATGAATACACTTTCAAAATGTGTACCTACTTCCTTAAAATTAATTATATACATAAATATAACCATTATGATAACAAATAACAAATAAAAATATTTTCCTATTGGATAATGAAGAATTCAGATTTAATGATATACAGCTAATATATTTTATCTCATGATAAGTATTAAAAATAAGAATACACGTTGTTTACGACAACAATTTTTTGCCCCCATCTGTGTCTGCTGTCCAATTTTTAATCCATTATATTATATAGAGTGTTTGATGTAACTTTTGAAGTACTTCTTCTAACAAATAATAATAATAATAAAATAAACAATATAAAAAAAATACACCAGTCTCGTAAAACGAAAGCTTCTGCTGAAAATAAAAATAGTTTTAGTTAAAAAGTTTTTCTATCCTGATATTTTTGGCGTACACGTTTAGCTATTATATAAGCGTCTTAAAGTTATATCATTGGTCTCTATAGTTAAAACATTATAATTATGATCATATTGTACTGTGATAGAATCAACTATATATTATATTAAAAATATCATACAATTATGCTTATACGATCAATATCCACGATATTTAGAAAAAAATTGACTTGCAAAATTTAAAATTTGAAAAATTCATCGTGGTATTGATATGTTGTTATTTTTCGTTTTTAAATTCGTAGAAATTACTTGGTAATATTACGAAGATAGAATCTTTTTATTTCTATATTTTTTTTTTTCACTTGGACATTTTCAATTAGCAGAGAATATTTTTGGAGTATTTGTTGATTGTGACTTGTGGTCTTTAGCTGTTGTCTTTTTTTTTTAATACCTAGTCAAGGAATTTTTTCAACACAATTCACTTTCCTTTGCCCATTTTGCTGACAAGACCTATCGTTTGCACTCCACCAAAATTGTTTTCGCCATTTGATGTTTTTTCACCACCAGTTGCTTTGATAAAACAACCTTTTGTTATAAGCGTGTTTTTATTATTGCGTAGGTACTATAGATTAATTTCCGAGGCATTAAAGCATCTTTTCATTCACCACTTCTCGGATCCTGGTTACCCTAATATTTTCTATATTTTTGAAAATCGATCTATAATATTATACATAATAATATTTGTAAATAAATACAAGTTTTTTTAGATACTTCAGAGTCTTTTTGAATGAAGATTTAATCATTTTTTTAAATCTTAATCAACACTACAGTTTTTTTTTTAAATATTCAAATAGTATAAATTCGTTGATAAATGACAATAAGTTTACGAAGATATGTATTAAATGTTAATAGTTGTTTTGGTTATAATATAATAATATTATATAACTGGCTCATCTTCAAGGGCCACTATTATTGTAGTCAGTCAAAAATGTGATGTCAATAAAGTGAGATAATGAGAATATGCACCTATGAGTTGGTACTGTAACTAAATGACCTATTTAAAACGCTGTATTATGATTATAATATCGTGTTGTTGAAACATATTCTAAAGGATAATAAATTCTTAGGAACAAAAAAAAACATTTGCGTTGAATGCTCGTTTAGATAAAACTCAGTCGTATATCACGGAATTATGATTTGTACTTATACGGTTATACCTAATATATATCATGAAAAATGTAAGACATATTGTCGATTGTCAATACTATTAATTATAAAAATAAATTTCTATTTTACAAAAAATTAAAGTTTAATTTTATTTGTATCCTAAATGTCTGTACGATTAGAAATCTTGTGTTTAAAATTAACTAAGAAAACTAATCGGGGGATGAAACATGCGAAAATGGTAAAATCAATGATAGAAATGCTACAAATATATTATACAGTATGTTGAGTAATACACGAAAAAAATTGTAAAAAACAATAATGATAATAATAATAATAATTTAATTTTTGGTTCATTACAATTTCAGTGTTCCGTGGGTGCTCAAGTAAACATCGACGAAGACGCTAACGGATCGGCGGACGAATCTCTATGCGGAGGCCGTAACGAGCTTTACGAACCGATAGACAGCGTTCGCGTCCGTGATGACACCTCATCGGCAGCAATGAGCTTCATTGGTGAAACGGAAAAGGAACTGACCGATGCACCGCCGATGACATCTTCCTGTCAAACTTGTCTTATACAACAGCCTAACATCCAAGCACTCATGGGCGTCCATTGAACTGCAAAAAAATAACAATATTATATACCATATTCATATATATATATATATATCATAATTTTGTCGTCATAATATATTTATCATACATAGGTAATTAAATAGGTAATTTTAATCAATAAGTAAGCGATAATTAACGATCTATGACCAACGCTAACCACGATTACACTTAATAGTAGTGGTTTTAATTTTTTTTCTGTTTTTAACATTAATATTTCTCGTGTTTGAAAGTTTGAAGGCCAAAAAATCCAACATTTTTTTGTTTCCCTAACAACGCATTATTTCACGGGTGATAACTAATGGAGTGATGTGTTCCTAAATACATATTTGAAGATGTAGAAACATAAAATTATATTTAGAACTTTTTCTGTCATAAACTATTACTTTAATTATAACTTGTTGATATAAATAATTAAATCTCAAAGTCGAGACATAAGATCAGAATATTTTTATAATCCACCATACAATATATAATAAGCTTATGTTTTTCCCAAAAGGGAGAATTAATAATTTATTTTTTATTTTTTTAATTCACAAATTATAAGTATTCTATTACACGTGATTCCAACTTTGATCTTCGAGCACTTTTAGATTAAATTTTAGGAATGTTTTAATTTTAAAAGCATAAATCTTTTAACACACATTGTTCGTTCTATGTTTTGAAAAAAAAGTTGTTCATTGTTTTATGTAGTAATGCACAATAATTTTACAATATAACAAACCTGTATATTATTATTATTTATTAATATAATACCTAGGAACCTATAATAATGACACAAGATGTATAAAAAATGAGATATTTCTTGATTATATTTTTAAGCTTTGACTTTTGTACATATTCTATTTAAAAACCAGATATCAAAAGACTCTAAACATTTTAAGAAAAACTTAAAATTATTAGATCATCTATATTTTATGTACAATATAATATATAATCATAAACAATATTAGTTTAATCAATATAATCATTCTAAAATAGTGGTTTTATAGAACTTAAAAGGGAGAAGTAGCAAATTTAATGTCATAGCACAAAAACAAAAATATGTAAAATAAATGGTTTTCTTCTTTTATCAAAGCGTACTAACGTTGTATTGTTATTATATTTTAAACATTCTAAGACATTTGCTGTTATTAATAGCCATAAATTATTACTTTTTAGTATTTCAATATATAAAGGAATAGTCCAAGTTCCCGTGAGAAGGGGAGGGGGTCGACCATATCGCGGTACTTAAAATGAATGAACACTAGTTACGTCTCGCGGTAAAAACTTTCTCAGTTTTTTTGGGGGGTACAAATGAATTACGGTCTAGATTTTTTTAATGTGTATGATTTCAAAATATTTTCACTTGTAAAAGGTGGATATGAATAACTTCACTTACTTCTCAATTATATCATCAATAGCTTTTCGTTTAACTTGATTACTTCCAATATGTTTAATGTTCCATCACTAAATAATTTTTCATAGTTACATTTTATATTACTTGTTTAATAATTACATTATTTATATTTAATTGAATATGTGATTTACAATTTTTTTTAGTACAGAAATATCGATTAATATAATTTTTTAAACATTTATGATAACAAAATATATCCATCAATTTTTCTCAACACATAGTTTTTTTTTTCATTCTTTATTATAAAAAATAATAAAACACAAATAAAATTAAAAAAGAAATGTATCAGCAAAAACAATATTATATACTCGTAAGTATAATAGATAAAGCAAATTGGAATTAGATTTTTTTATAGATACAGCTAGTATGAGGCTCTCAAAACCACGCTTTCATTCAACTTATTTGTATTCAATAATAATAATTTTTATTCGAAAATACAAGAAAATTATGAACACTTTTTAAAAACAGTAATTGTATATTTTGTTAAAAGTATTATAAAATACTTAAAAGTATAGTTGATAAATTATAACAATAAAAATCGTTTAAATTATACTTTTGAGCACTAGTTGTTTCTAAATATTACGTCATTTTGATTAATTTCATATTTGGGTAAATAGAGTTATAATATAATAATATACAGCCAACTCACAATACAACAAAGTTTAGTACAACTAAAATCTCGATGTAAAGAACGAAACTGTTGTTCCTTTGAAAATATCTTAACATATAATATAAAAAATATCGATTAGCAAGCTCTCGATGGACTAATTTTTTTCAAAATATGTAGTGCCATATTTTCATTAGGATTTTTTTCTTTATCAGGACATGAATATTTAAATAACAATAATAGCTAACAACCACACTATGTTGAACGACAATAAGCAACATAATTAACAAAGAGTGTAAACTTTTTCATATTTAAAATTCGAATTGTTTTAAATGTCATTTAAATCTTCTGAAAAACTCACCTCGAACTTTGTCTGCTACATTAAGCAAAAATTTATAGTACAATGTTTTATTTACAATATAAATTTGAATTACATTTGATTTGAGCGAGACTGTCGCGTAGTGGCGTGGCGCATATAAATCCATTTTAAAAATAATAATTAAATACCCAAAAATCACTTTTCTAATATAATCGGTTCAAACGAATTTCTTTTTTTCTTATTTTTTATAATTTTAAGTTAGCATGTTAATATAAAGCAGTTAAATTTAAAGTGGATTTTAAACATTTGCCAGGGCCTAAGTCATCTCAGAATCTTCTAATAACTTTTTTTTAACTACATATAAACAATAATGTTGTTACAAGGGAAATATTATGTTTAGGCTAGCCTATATTGAGTTTTATTTTATTATTTTCGATAAATTAGAAAATACGTAAGTTAGTATAATTTTCTCACAGTATATCAGTATATATTTAAAAAGATATCAATTTAAATTAAAAAAATACATACCTCATCTACTGATATATATCATTAATTGTTTTTTTTTTTTAAGACGTTTTGTATAATTTTCATTTCAGATTTGCTTTTTGAACTAACATCACCGCCAGAACACTAGATAACTTCCGCACTATTATACGGCCAATACAGCGCAATATTATTGTCATCATCATTATTATTGTAATTGTGTAATTATTGTTATTGTTATTATTGTAATATAATATTGTAATGTAACCAAAAGAGGTCCATTGAAAAACCGTGACATAATATGTTTGTACTATATTAAATATGTTTAAGAACAATTATTTGAATCCCTTGGCGATTCCTTGCGAAAGTATTTAAGAGTTCAGTCGGATATTATTATTATTAAATAGCAATTATCATTATTTTACTTATTAGTTAAAAACTTTCTTTTTTTTTTATATAATTTTACTGGTCATCGCTACATAATATTTGTGTGTTAATTATTTAAGATCGCCTTATAACTGTTTACAGTGTTACGTTACGCTCATCGTTCAAGACGCCTATAATAATATTTATTTCTATAATAAATATGTCGTTTTTATTTTATTTTAATTATAAATTAATGCACAATAACAATGTCGGAAATTCTACGAATACAAATAATACATATTATTATGGTTTGAATCAGAATAATTTTTCATATTTTTCATATAGTTATATGTATTGTATACATGACAGTTATTCATTGGAAAGATAAACACTTCTCAGACATTATTTGAAAATATTATAATCGTATAATAATAAAAAGTAAAACAGATTGGTTAGATTAAGTTAGTATATAATAATATAGTAAAATATTTGGGGAGTATAATCAAATGCTTTCTGGGGAATTTTCTCAAAAAGTTTTAAGCAATTTTAAAAATACTTTTTTTATAGATAATTTAAATCCGTTTCTATAAAAATTGTTGAAAAATTATATTTTTACTACTTTTAAATAACAATGTGTATTAACGTATTATTTTGCTGTGAAATATTAAGTTTAAATTTATGTGTTATCATTCAAAAAAATAAAAAGTTGTATAACAATAGTTATAAAAATAAATAAATAAAAATTTATAATATCTAATAATATAACGAAAATGGTTAAATTATGAATAAAATATTTTCAAAAAGTTTTAAAAAAACTAAGTACTCGATTATTAAAAGAAACGCCATGCATGAAATTTAATCTTATTATATTTCACATTGAAACTAACAAAAAACTATTTAATAAATTATTATTTCATACCTACTCTTATATAATATACCTTCTTATCAGTATTCGGAATAAAACTCAATAATTAACAGATATTTTGAGTTAACAATTATAATATTTAAAATTTAATAAATATATTGAATTTATAAATAGTTAGTGAAATTAATTATACTATATGATTAAAAAATAAAAATTCAATTTATCATCCATGATTAATATTGTTTAGCTATATTTTAATTAACTATGAAATATATTTTTTACCCAACATTGATGATATATTCTTATGAAAATTATAATAAATTATGTGCATAAAAAACATTTCTGTTGTTCGCTCGACTAGCGTATACTTTAGATACAATTTTTTTTTTTATATAATGTTAAGTAATACATATCATTACGTTTAAACGCATAACGGTTAGACCATTATGTATCAAAATTTATATATTATTACATTTTTGTCATAAATATTATATTCATGGTATACTACAATCGTATTATACCCACTTAGCCCACAACAATTGTGCGGTTTAATATAATTGTACTCTAGTCTTATAAGTTTAATAAATTGTTTGGCAATATTTAATCAGATCTGTGTCTTAAATATGTTGTAACTTGTTGCAGCACTAACCTCGACTATGGTTATACATATTACCACAATACACAGTTGTGTGTATACATAGTGGTATTAATTTTTTTAAAGATATATTTTTATATATACTATGAAGAAATTAATACACTACAAAATTTTCAAAAAAATCATAAATCAACAAATGACAGTGAAATAAGTTAGATTCACGTTTTTTTTCAAATGAGGTTCATCAAATTATACTCCTTAAATGATATAAAAAACCAAATTATTTAAATAAATAATAGTTTTTATAAGTATATTTAAAAATTTTAAAAATAAGAATTTAAATAAATGCACTAAAGAAAAATACAGAATAAGAGATAAACATGCTTGCAGTTGAATCACCCTGTACAAATATAATATCAGAAATAAATATACTATACACTTGTTTAATTATATTTTTTAATTATAGTTATATTTTTTCTGAGGTATTGTATTTTATATTGATGTTTAGCTGCTTCATTGTTTTTTTCTGTACTCGGCTGCAAAATACTTGGCTGTTAAGACGCGGAAGAACTAGTAAGCGGGAAAAAGAAATGGTGTTTTTTTACATAAATTACTGGCTGTACGTATAATTCAGCACTTAAATGTTAAACAGCTTTACCGTGAATTAAATGTAAGCCCTATAAATTGTATAAGAAACCTACGTGGTTTGTAAAATTAATTTATTGTTAATCTTATTCGTATCTTTTTTTTTTAAAACAATTCCCCGTTAATAGGACACACCCGAATTTATTGTTTCCGTCTTACAAACGTTTAAACAACGTAATAATATATAGAAATTTACGTTAAACTATTCAAATTTTGAATAAATTAATTAAAATAATAGAATGAATAGACCAGAATATTATAAATTTTTAAAGGTAAGAATATTGAATTGTTCTTTACTACTTTAAATGTTTTTTTTTCTATATTTCAACAAATCAAAATATGAGTAGGTACTATGTAAAATATTATATACATCTGTATAAAAAAGTATCTGATGTCCTTCAAATAGTCTGAACGTATGCTCAAATAGTCATCGGTCAAGTCAAAAAAATTGTGATGAGTGTTGGATTACTATGTACTAACACCTAAAAATGTCATGGAAAGCTATCCATTCAGTATATATACCTATAAAGGTAGGTATTTTGAGAGCACTAGTCTAACTGAAGGGATGGAATATTATGATCTATGACAATCGGTTTTGCGATTAGGATCCATATTTTTATTTTTGCTTTCAACAACACGTTTTTATAAAATAGCTTAAATAGAATTTAAAAATTTTATCATATAATAATATAAAAACTTGATGCAAATTTCAAGTATCTACAATTGTTTTTGAACGAGAAATTTTTAATTGACATTTAAAAAAATAAAAAACTAAAAATAATTGAAAATTTCTCATGCCTATAAAATAGACAAAATATTTTTTAAATGTTATTTTACAAATAATATAAATATTTTATTAATTTATTTTAAATTTAGAAAAAAAAATACATTTCTAAATTACAGATAAATTACTTATAAAACTATAAATAGATTATATACGTAGTGTAAATATTAAATAGAATATCTAATAATATACATAATATATATTATCTTATAATGTTGAATAATTATAAAAATATATTTATGTAATGATAGTTTTTGTTAAATATTTGTTAAAGACGCCATATTAATAAAGTGTGAGTATTTTTTAGTAAATATTTGTTAAGTTACATTTATTAAGTCAAGTCCTACAAATCTGAATCCCTATAATATTAATATACGCGTATACCGTACTCGCAAATAGTAATATAATATTATGTTTGAACGCGGAACACTTTTTGCCGCCATTGAGCTTGCGCGGGACCCCACAAACGCGACCAATATACAAGCTCCCGGCAAGCTCCCCCTCCGCCATCCGACGACAACTCGCCGACCGGTGGTCAAGCGATCAGCCGCCTAGTAATTCAATTTTTTTCTGTCTTTTCCCAACGGTCGAGTCGAACGCATCGTGGCGTTCGCTCACCAATTTCATCACATTACATTTTTATTCAAACCTCGTGTGGTTCACGAGGTGTGAAACATTGAACGTGTTGTTCCTGTGGATCCTGCTGTTGCCACCAGGTCATAATTATTATTTCTATACTTCTGTGTGTGCAGTAGCCACTATTCACTAATTATTATAAATATATATATATATATATATATATATATTGTCATTCCGTGGTGTTGCGGCCTTTCTTTGAAAACTATTGTGATTATTATTATTTGTATTGTTATTATTATACATATTATATACATATACCCAGGGTACAGTCTAGCGCCCGCATGCGATTTCTGTATTATTATAATATATTATGTTGTTATTAATTTTGGTAACCTAATTCAAAATCCCCGCGAGTCGCGGCAAACAACTGCTTTACATCGCAAGATTTGTTGCGGTGACCAATCATATTATCAGTCGTATATTAAATGATATTTCAAAAATGGATTAACTATATGTATGCTATATATATTATCTGTAGAATTCACGTGTTTAAAATCACAATTATTTTCACAGGCCAGCTTCAAATGTTGAAGAAAATAAAAAAAAATCAAATTATGAATCAATATGGTGTAATAACTCAAAAATAAGAAAAAATTAAAATTAAAATGGGTATATGTTATGAGTATGATGTGGCCGGACTGACACAAGGGACACAAGCCTTGTATGTAAGTCCGGTACTAATAAATATTGAATGTACTTGTTCTTGCGTTATTACCTTCCTCCTGTTCTTCGGAGGGTTCTCGAGATCGTGATTCGAGAATATGATCAAATACACCGTATGTAAATCAAATAGTAAAATATTTCGTACTGACAATAAGTATGTAGGGCATGCACCTTACCTGGTTCGCCGCGGTGAATACCTGTAGTACGATCCTCAGAGAAAGATGTAAGATAATACAAGTTGCGATTTGATTTAAGGAAAACTTAAATTTAAATAAGAAAAACAACACTGATTTTATCTTAGAAAAAGAAAGAAGTCCAGCTGTCGCTCGCAGTCTTGAGTTGTGGGGTGTGTGATGGGTCTTGGGAAGAGCTCCTGCTCGTTTGTCTGGTGCGCCTGCACTGTGTTTTTGTCGGTGCTCATGCACTCGATAGTTTGGCTGGTGCTCATGCACTCGATGGTTTGGCTAGTGCTCAAGCATTGACTAGAGAAGACGACGTGGTCAAGACAGCCAGGGTCCCCGATGACAGAGAGCCTCATTGGACCATCCCTTGTCTTTGGCGGCACACGAAAATAGGTCAAACGCTTTGTGCCATATGGTCGCAATAGCGTTTGGGTTCCCACGTAGCCAAACAATGTAGATCGTCTCTCTCGTCAGTAATCAATAGGGATTACTTTATTTAACGAAATGATAAAATATACAATAAATTATGATGTGTGAGCATATCATTACAATGGTTTTATATAATTATTTTCTTCGTTTATATAATAATATGTATGATCTTATTGTTAGTAAACCTATTATTAATTAATAAAATATTGAATTCAAAATTAACTGTAGTTTGCATTTACTTATGTAATGAAATATATAATTTCTAATAATACTCCAATAGATCAAGTAACAATACAATGATTATTAGATACTTACTCACAGATCGTGGAATAAAAAATTCCACACAAGGAAAAAGTCAATTAATTTAAAAAAAAAGTCTAAAATAATAAATACATTTTTTTTAATGAGTTTTTTTAATAACATTAAGTTATGTGAAAAAATATTAAATATTGGATGCTCAATAAAAAAACTAAAATAAAACTTTTAGTTAAATCTTAAAAAAATATATGATATATTACTTATGAAAACTACAATTTAAAGTTTATTTATAAAATTAAAGTGTAT